GAGCCAAGGCTGCCCAGCTCACCTCCAGCCCCAGTTCTTCCATCGTTCTCGGCCACCTTCTGGCAGCCCGCCCTCCTCACCCCTCCTGCTATGTTTTCTCTCGCCCTCCCCCACCCTCCTGCCCCGTCCTCCCCACTGACTGTGGCCCAGACCAGTGCCAACCACCATCTGCCAGCTCCAAACGCCAGCACCGACCCTCCCTGAAATCCTTCTTCAAGCACCTGCTTCCCAGCTCCTTGTTCCCCTCTTCCTCCTCTGCCGACTTCTGAGTTCCTGTGTCCTCCTGTGTCCAAGGAGGGGCACTTCTGAACAGCCAGCCCGGGGACAGGCCATCACTGGTTCCAATTCGCAGACTGTGAAACAGACCCCTCAGGAGGGCTGGGAAACCGGGCCACCGCCCCAGAGGAACTGGCCAGGTCAGGAGTCTGGCCCTTGAACCCCAGATTCTACAACCAGCAGGGGGTCTTTAGAGGTCGTCTTATCCAGGCTCCTCCTCCACTTGAGTGAATGAATACCTAAGCCACCCAGAACATGTGGTCTTTCTGACCATACAGAAATACTCCATTAGTGGAGCCCTTGCTATGGAACCCATCGTCGTGTTCAAAAACAATAAATATCTCATTCAACACTCACAGCACCCAGATAAGGAAACTGGGGCTCAGAGAAGTTAAGTAATTTGCCCAAGGTCACACAGTGTGTTGGACACCTCAGTGTGCCACTTCAAACCCTCTTGGCCCCACCTCTTACTCTAGCCACTTCTGCAATGACCAGTCCCCTGCAGGCTCCAAGCAGCATCTTACAAGTGGAAGCACTTGACAGAGGGCTGCTCCAGGCCTCTTTTTTTTCCCCCCCAGCAGCTGGCCAATTCGTGGATCTGAACCCTTGACCTTGGTGTTATTAACACCGCGCTCCGGCCTTCTTTGAAGATGAAGTGTGGGATCCCCATAGGAAACCACTTGAGCCTCATATGCAAGCTGGAAGCACAAGGGAATTCATGTCCACAGAGCCACCCTTGTCCAATGGGGAACACAGCTAATGAATAAACACTTCCCTGTTCCTCTCTCCAACAGAGAGTAGTTCTGAAATGCAGTCCAGAAGCTTCCTCAGGAGACCACCCAGGATAGAGTGAGGTAATAATAAAAATGGTGCTTCCTTGTGTTGCTTTCCCTTTCTCTCCTTCATACCCCTCACCCCCACCCTTGATCCCGAGATCACTTACGAAATAAGCCACTGCGTGCAAGCCTGTCTCCCAGGCTCTGCTTTAGGGGGGACATGGGTTGAGACACAGCGAGTGGGTGGTGGACAGAGCTAGGATTCACACCCAGGTTTGAGTGATAACATGGCCTTCATGCTTAACCACTGTGCTACACTGCCACCACCCTCATCCACGCCAGGGTCCCTTTTCCTCAATGTTCAAGTCATTCTGAGCCACTATGGCTCAGCCACACTCGATCGGACAAGGTCATGGGAAAAGGGGAGAAGAGGGTTCTGAGGTCACCTGCCACAGGAGGATCCTCTTCTCTGGAACTGAGGCCACCTCCTGCCAGATTACCACAACACCCTGGGCTGAGCAAGAGTCCCACTTAGATGTGCCCTGGCCCTACCAAAGTTTAGCATCTGCCTCTGCCCACAAGCATCAACCACAGTGGTCAAGAGTGGCTGCTGCAGGGCCGGCCCGGTGGCGCACTGGATAGTGCGCCGCTTGGGAAGCGCGGCGGCGCTCCCGTCCGAGGGTTCGGATCCCACATGCAGACCGGTTCCCGCTCACTGGCTGAGCGAGGCGTGGGAGCAACGCCGAGGCTTGCGATCCCGTTGCCGGTCCCCGGTCCGGTACGGGGGCAACACTGAGGGTTGCGATCCGTTGCCGGACACGGAAAAAAGACAAAAGACAAAAAAAAAAAAAAAAGAGTGTCTGCTGCAGCTCTTCAGCTCCAGTCTTCCATCACACCCCCCTACCAGACCCCCCAAGATCCTTCTCCCACTCCCCAACATCTGGGAAGGGAGGAGGGACCTGAGGAAGCTTCTTGAAGCCTGAGCAGCCAGATCTAGCAGACCCCCACCCCACCCCACCCCTGGACTCAGAAAACTCAGCACCCCTACTTGGAGGTGAGGGCAGAGCCTCCCGCAACTCTTGCCCAAGCCACGAAGATATACTGGGATGTTCCCGGGGGATATCACTGCCCAGGACCTCACAGGCTCCAAGTCCCTCCCAGTCTCCCAGCCCCCGGCAGCTATGCGAGGTTTCTGTTTACTCCTTTCCCAGCAGCAGGAAGAACAGGAAGAATGGGGGAGGGCAGTGCCTTCTCCCTCTCCATGGGAAACTGAGGCCTATGGAGCTTAAGGGACAGCCCCAGGGTCACGAAGTATGAAAAGAACTAGAAAGCCCTGGAGCCCAGCCCAGGACAACCCTACTATTCTCTATGGAGGCTGGTCTGATGGGGGCCACTCAACAGAGGCAGACCTCGGCATACAGAGCTCAAACCCCACTTGCATGTAAATGCCCTTCAGGTTTGTTAGGAAGGGTGTAGGGGAACTATAGAAAACAGATGAGAGAAGAGAAGCCCCCCAACCAGCTCCCAGGTCCACATACACAGCCTCTGGTCGTGGCAAAGCCAAAGTGGAGTCTACACAGACTTCTGAGGTCCCCCTGAACACACACCTGCCCTGGACCCCCACCCATGACCTCTGGAAATTAGCATCAGGCTGGAAGCTGGCCTTGCCCCAGAGGTCCATGAAGGCCCCTCGGCCAGCACCCCACCATCCTAGATCTCCCTCCTCTCTCCGCACCCCTGCAACAGGCACAGTTGGAGTGAGGATGGGGTGGGGTTTATGCCCTTTCGGAAAAAAAACAAACGAACCCAGCCTAGCTACAAGGTCCTCCTGGGACTCCTGGCGTTTTTCCTTGTACGGCCACCTGTAAACACCCCACTCCTGACCTGCACCTCGGTCAGCTTCTACTGGCGGAGACTTTGACGGGAGCTGAACACCATCTCACTCACGCGTACACGGCCCAATACATGGATGTGTGTGCAGTGCCCCACCCCGCACGGATTTCTGAGGACAGTCACCCCACCTCCCAAAAACAACCCAGTAGGCTGAATTGCTCTGTGGGATCTCAGCACGGGGCTCGCACGGTCCATACGTGCCCGATACCTCTTCGCAAACACACGCAGTCACAGTCACAACATACGCTCCGATTCCACGTTCAGTCACACCCGGGACTCACGTCCTGATCCAGGCTGGCTATGGAGCCACTGACCTTCTGTGGCGCCTGGCGCCGCGGGTCCCTCCCCGACGTGGCCGGAATGTCAATAGCCAGTCGCGGCGGCCCCCCTCGGCCTCCGGACCCGAGCCCCCTCCTCCTGGCCGGCGGGGATCCCTCGCAGCCCGCCCAGCGCGCGCGCCGTCACCGCGGCGCGCACACGCGCACACGGGCCCCGCAGCTCCGGACGCACAAAGCTGCGCCCGCCGCCGGCCGCCTGC